TCTGCACGGGCCGAGCGGCAGAAGCGGGCCTGACTGCGTCAGCCACTGACGCGTGCCTGGTCTGCACGGGCCGAGCGGCAGAAGCGGACCCGACTGCGTCGGCCACTGACGCGTGCCTGGTGTGCACGAGCCGAGCTGCAGAAGCGGGCCCGACTGCGTCAAGCAGCCGCACTCGGGGATCTTGAGTCACATCAAAATGTTTTGCTCGTGCCGTGGCATTTATGTCGTGCCATAAAACCTTGTGTCATGGTGCAATAACAGGGCCGTGTTAGCTTATGATGTCATATATCGTTCAGTTATTTTACATGTTACGAAATCGCTGCGAAATGTTATTCCATGATACGGCTGGCATTATATTTTGAGATATTAAACCTATAGGCTATGTTGACCGACAAGTTTCCAAACGTTTTCATGCATTGATATCCCGGCGATGGTGAAATTGAGTCGAGTGATAATGAAACATGATGCCTTACGACAATAAAGCCTTTTCAGGATTATTCATTCAAGGTAGCTATAACATGTTGCTGTCACAACATTATTCGCTGTTTTTACATAAGTGCCATACGAAATTAAATATAGCATGCTAGGTGCTGAATATGAAACGTTTGCATTCATTTCCCATAAATCAATTGAAGGCACGCGCCATCATCACGCCTTTGACCACGTCACACCTTATTCGCGTTCTGTCGCATGACCGCAGGCCTCTTTGCAAGCAGACCCGTCCTGATCTGAATGATGCAAATCCACGTCCAGCCCGGTGGCAGTCACTGGCGGACGAACACGCCAGCCTCGAGCGAGGTAATAAACGCGAGGCAAACATTCGCACGTCGCCCGAGCCGTTCTCACGTCCGAGAGGCTGCCGCCCACCGTTCCCGCAAAAATCCTGCGGGCCCAATCCGACCCTCGCGGAGGTCCCTCGAGTCTGAGCTCCTCGGCCTACGCCGCCGCAAGCCGCGGAATGAGGCACGAGGCACCCGTCTGCACTAAGACGGCTGGCCACGCGCCAGGCCCCGGCGAGCAGGGGCTTATGGGACAACGGAGGCGTGTCGTATGTCGGCGGGAACGGCCACGTCGTAGACATGGGCGGCGTTGAGCGGAGTCGTGCAGTCCGTCCCCTTCGCTCACATTCCTCCCTCCAAATATGAGATGTGACATTCCTGGGCGCCGCCTAATGCGGTGTGTGTCACCCATTTAAACGTCGCGCGCCCAGTGCGAACAGTCATCGGCCCTGAGAAGTCGCATTCGCCAGAATGCGAACCATGGTGCATTGGGTACAACATTACACAGATGGAGAGGACCGTCAAAAACACAAATGGCCACTGCAAAAGCCACTCAAGTTGGTCAAACACGCGGGCTTCCTGAGTGATTGCGCCCGGAGCGTGGTAAGTTCACGGCGTCAGTTCTGTCCTGGGTGAAAGCACCCGGACCGTGGTAAGTTCATGGCGTCAGTTCTGTCCTCCTGGGTGAGTGCACCCGGACCGTGGTAAGTTCACGGCGTCAGTTCTGTTCTCCTGAGTGACTGCGCTCGGACCGTGGTAAGTTCACGGCGTCATTGAGTTCATGGCGTTCTTCTGAGTGATTGCGCCCGGACCCTGGTAAGTTCATGGCGTCAGTTCCGTCCTCCTGAGTGATTGCGCCCGGACCGTGGTAAGATCACGGCGTCAGTTCTGTCCGTAGCATCCCCCGGTGGCCCACTGGGAGCTGTTTCGCCCGGGGCTCTGCTCGCACGGGTCCTGAGGCTGGAGTGGGCCAAGGTCGGTGCCAGCGGCGTCCACAAGCTCCCGAGGTCCGTCCAACCATGGCCTTGACACTCGCGAATACTGATCACATCCAGTGGCTAGCGTCCAGATATAGTCTGAATCAGCCCCTGACGACGGAATGAGTGGTGAAGCGCGCCCCCTCATCTGCCAGAACTGGTCCGCTGAACTGATCCGCTGACGGGCCATGCGGCGCACGCGCAATCCTTTCACGACGTCGTGTCGCGTCGGTCCAATAATTGTCACTTCGGTTCTTTAGAAAAGAATGATTACCGCATCCCTGTTTTTCATCAGGGTTGACACATCAGTTTCTGAACAGCGATCAGCTGCAGCGTGTCAACAACCGCCCTTCTCCCAAACATATCCGCCCTCTACGTCGGCGCAGAATACAGGAAGCATGCTTAAACCTCTCCCCCTCCGGCCATGTTAGGCTAACGCGGGTGGCCAACTGCACCACATCACCATACAGCAATAGCACGACAGAGTGAGCATCATCACGAGCCACGAGCTCCTTTCAAGCAATCAATTAACAAAACAAAAAAGTGGTGCGTCGTCGTTACGTAGCTGGCAGCGTGATATCAATCTACGGAAAAGGCTTTCACCGGAAAAGAACGGGCCTAAAACAATGTTGAGCGTCCAGTATGCCCGACGCACACAATATATTTCATGCATCTGGTTTGTGATATAAGCCGTGCCAGACGGCAAAAAAAGCTCCGAATAAGCCGCGAGAAGTAGATTCGCGGCTTTAGAACCATTGGAATTTGCTCCTTCTGGGCGCTTCTGAGAAAGTTGGCCGCGCCTGTTTTAGCTCTCGCATTTTATATGAAGCCCCATCCGACAGCTGCTGGCTGCTATGACTTGGTTATGAAGCAACTACTCTAAGTCCACAAATTTTGAACGGATTAAGACCAGTACAGTCCAGGGGGTGGGCGCATCCAGATCCGGCACACATCCAACCGGTATTATTATTATTGTATATTCTGCCCATTGGTCTGCCCTTACAAAATCAAAGTCAAGGGAAGGTTATGTGGAAACATTCAATTATTATTCTGTCTTTTTGTATGCGTACATGCGTAATTGATATATATATATATATATATATATATATATATATATATATATATATATATATATATATAAGCAGGCACATGTTTGAATAGGCATGAGATTCTACGATGCGTTTAATATCGCCAATGGCGCTCACTAGTGTAAATTCATCAATGACGCGTCTAAAAAATGGCAAGCAAGATGACATTCAAGCAAGCTGAGGGCGAAACCATGAAATGGTTCCGAAAGCAAAACCGTTTTTAGTAAGCGATATCGGGCCTACAGTCAGCAGGGGTAGCAGGATTATTTCTGAAAAACTGTAATGACGCTCACCACGGCGACGGAAAACGATTTCGTCCAGGCTTTCTAAAAGCGTGCGACATACCAGATGGCGATCTACTTTTGGCCAGCAAGCGAGGGGGTTTCTGACGGCACCAGCAGGCAGATCAGACCGAGGCACTGTAAGGGCTTGTGTGTTAGAGTAATGGGGGCAACGCACAGACGCAGAGGGTTACCAGAGAGACAGTGGACGGGCATTCAAGCACAACAGACGTCGGTGGATGGATAGCGGTGAGCGTTGTAGCACGCTGGATAGCGGGGTAATGCGACACCGCAGACAACAGTGCAGAGCCGACGTCGGGCACTGCAGCAATATGGACAACAATGTCAGGCGTCAGAGAGCGGCGGTTCACTGTAACACGACAGGGATGCAAAGGCCGAGTGGTTAGCGCCTGCGGTTCCCCCCGGGGGACTCAGGCTAGAACCCCGGTTGTGCTAAGACCCCTAAGCGTTAATATGTTCTCTGCAGTCGATGGCGCTTGATAACAAGGTGCGTAACGCACCTTGACGCACGCACGTGCGTCTCGTTCCTTTAAAGAAACAACCGTAAAAAGACAGACGGCGATGGGGCACTCTAACGTGTCAGACAGTTGGGGGCACTGTCGCAGCGGACAGCGTGTGTGATGGACATGTTACGGTGACCTACACGCCGCCCACTGCACCACGTCACACAGCGACAGGTCGAGTGACGCGGCGCTGCAGCGCCGACCTGGCACCACAGCCAGACGCATCTGGGCTATTTCCTCATCATCCGCGTAACAAGATAACAGGCTCGGTAATGAGCAGGAAAATGAAGATTTAACAGCAATGCCGCCACCGCGGCGGGAGACGTGTAGGGCTAGTGGCAACTTGTTATAGACCAAGTTGCGACAGCCATCAATGGAAGCGGGTCAACGAGGTCGTGGTACGCAGAGTTTTGAAAAGGCTACTAGCGCTCCCATCGGGACTCCAGATGGGCCTCAGGTATCCGCAATGCTTGATGGACACTCCGACAGTCCACAAATAATCGCTCCAAGCCTCCATGCTCCTCCGCCAAAGACTCATGATAATTTGGAGCCTGCCTCGCAACTGGTTCCGTAAACATAAACAAGGCCGCAAATGAGGCAAAACAGCACCGCAATAAACCTGATGCGGTAAGCAGCACCTCAATAAGTCCGGAACGCCAATGCGAGTGAGAAATAAGCGATTGCGCGGGCCACCGAAGAGCGATGACAACACACGAGGAACGGCATCGGGTGAGCCAGGCCCTTAGCGAGTGACGTCTCATGCTGCAGAGGACAGCATCCTGACTCGCCGCGAGTGGCTTGTAACATCAGACGAGATCTCTCCGCAGAACAGAGCCTCCGGAGTCTTTTGGGCGTATCCAAAGCCTCTAGCGTATGCCACGTGCCCCAAACGCATTGCCTGGAATCTCGCCGTGCTTGGCACCCCCGGGATCTCCTGCCCGGCGTGCGGATCATCCAGACGCCCCATCTGTGGCGTCCCGCACTCCCACCAGCGGCACACCCACCCAGAAGCCGGCGTGCAGATCCCCCAGAGAGTGTCACCGCACGTCCCATCCGTGGCCTCCCGCGCTCCCACCAGCGGCACACCCACTCAGTGGCGTGCGGATCCCCCAGAGAGTGTCACCGCGCGTCCGATCCGTGGCGTCCCGCGCTCCTACCAGCGGCACACCCAGAGAGTGTCACCGCACGTCCGATCCGTGGCGTCCTTCGCTCCCACCAGCGGCACACCCACCCAGCGGCCGGAGTGCGCGCTCGACCGACCTGGTCCACGGCGGGCCCGTGCCCGCGCCAGCCGGGCCTGGCCCCCGGCCGGCGCCGCCCGTCCATCTCCTCTCCGGCAGCGGCCACTCACCGAAACGGACGTATCTGCGCGGCGACAGGTTGTCCTGCCAGCCGGCGCGTGCCGGCGCGCCCCAGCAGAGCAGCAACACAGCCAGAGGGCACCAGATGGCCGCCATCGTCGCGCCGCCTCGCCAGACGGCCGGCCGTTCGCAGCTGCCCGCCGAGGCGAGACTGTCCGCTGCGGGACGGCCCTGCCACTTCAGCCGCACGCGCTGCGCTCACTTCGGTCCGGCCCGCCTTCAATCGCAGATGGTTCTGTTCGCTTCAAAACGCCGGTGCTGTCCGTCGCTTGACTTGGTTCAGACGAGTGCATTCATTGCGGCACCGTTGCGTCCTGCAAGACGGCTCAGTGGACTGCAAGTAGCGGCGCTCGTTCTCCCTGACGCAATGGAGAGAGCTCTGCTTGAGAAGGGGGTCTCTGTCCCCAGCTCCGCCCAGCCCGCGGGGTGGTCCTTGCTACTCCAGAGAAGCTGGGCTGGCGGGCCGGTCACCGGGTCACGCAGGGTGAACTTAAGAGGTCAGCTCGAACTCTGGCCACCGGCTGGGCTGAGGCTGGTCGTGAGACGCATCCTGTTTTCGTGGTCCCACGTCCGCTCGAGTCTCTGAAAAAGAGGGTAAGACGTAGATAAGGTGCAGCTCTCTGCGATGATCACCTCGGAATCGATGCCAAGAAAAACTGAAAGAGGCGTTACAGCTTATGTCTCGTAAGATGTTCAGTGCATTAGCGAAGAACATTAGTCACATAGATAAAGCAGCAGCATTAATGCACTTCTGCTATTGTTTCGAGAAAGGCATGTTGCCGAAATATCACCCAACTATATCTCTATTCTCCTGTTTTTTTCCGAGGAATAAGGCTAATGCTACTGTCTTGTCTATGCTTCTGTGTTTCTGTGAGCTACCACTGAACATGAGCGTTGGACACGTTATTTTATGCGCAGGTTCAAGACATATGGACGATCACACAGGTAATCAAGCGTGAATAATCCCACCACCATGGCGTGAATAATCCCATCAACTTGCGTGGCAAAAGATCACAAGTGAAGCGCGAGATACATCATGGATTCCGCACTTTGATGAGATGTAACCACCGGTTACCCGACTGGGTTGCTGCGGCTTATCTGACGTGACGTGACGTGACGTGACGTGACGTGACGTGACGTAATGTGACGTGACGTGACGTGACGTGACGTAATGTGACGCGACGTGACGTGACGTGATCTATTTGCCCGGTGCAGCGGACTGGTACTTCAACTCTGTACTGATTCAGCACAGCAGGTCACGGAGGCAAGAAACAAACAATGAAACGTTTCTGCCGATGGGGATACTAGAAGAGGTAGGTCGTATTCGGAGGCATAAGACGGTGAGAGCTGTCCAATCAGTGCCAACTTCGTTCAGCCAGTAACGATTATCGGGTGGCTGATTTGTGCGCAGCGTCGCAGCCGCGAGAGTGAGGCTAAGTTAACTGCATCCTGGTGACTGAATCCCTGTTCTCAGTAAAAAGGCCCCCTGCAGACACGAGCAGCGTAACGAGCCAACCAGCTCGCACCACACCTTAGTTAACTAGTCTCTCCGCTTTCGAGGGGGGGGGGGGGGGGTTGACGTGCGAATAGATGCGAATAAACGTATGAATGAATCAATGCGCTGGGATGGCAGGGTGGTTGGGGTGCCGTTAGCGAGGGGACCGTCCGCGGCGACGCCGGCAGCGATCACGACCGAGGCACGGCGTCGCACCTCAACCCTACGCCGGACGACCGGACCCGCCCGCTGGTCAGAACTCAGCTGCACGCGGCAGGCAAAGCTGTCTCCCCGCTCGACCGAGCCGGATCAGACGGCTTTGCATCAGCTATGCTTTACGTGGTTCGTTTGCATACGTTCAGTCAAAAATGCAGCGAAAGTCGGGCGAATGCACAATGTGCTTCACTGGAGCGGGCATTAGGAATGTGCTCTCTCCCACAGTTCGCGATGTTGGCAGCCGGCCGGGCAGTTTGGAAATAAGCGGCACGTGCTGGCGCGCTGGCGCATGGCCTCCATTTGGCGTTTGTCGGTTGAACAAATGAGCTACACACGCCAACGCCGGCCCGAAAGCCAGCGCTGAATTGGAATTGTGGTCGGTCGCGCTTCGTCGGCGCCAACTGCGGCGGAAGCGTCGGCCAGGGGCCTTGGAACCAAGCATAAATTGGAGGAGCTTGGGTGGAAGAAAACAGTTCCATTCGTCACTGTTTGACCAAAACACTTAATGCCTGCAACCAGGAAAACTTGCAACCATTGCAGTCGTTCAATGTTTGCGATGAATGATGGGAACTTTTGAGTGATCGGCAATAAGATGTGAAGGCACCAGTGGGTCTGCACTGAACGATGACAACGAAACTGGTGATGTCATGGGTGCAGTAAGCGATGTCTGGGATACCCATTGCATCACACTTCCTTAAAATTTATAACACGGGCGTCGATTTGTATTCTTTTGGGTGGGTCACTGCCCCATGTCCAATTTGCCCTCCCCCCAACGGTGAGTTTGGCCCCTCAACCTTTCGACGCCGAAGTAAAGCGGGGTATGAACAATGAGAGATCAACATTATATTTATTGTAAAGCGGGTTTCTTCTCATTGTTTCTCAGATAAAGGAAAAAAAGAAGATGAAAAATGCAATGTCATATTCAGCTGATAATTTTCTGTTTTCTTCCACATGACACGTAATTCTAGTTGTGCGATTAGTATGCCTTGCGACTTTGGTCATGCCTCTTGACTTTGGTTTGCTGTCGTCCCATTGTTTGTTCTAATAAGCGATGTTTCATGTTCTACAACTGCAGCATGTTGCGTGATTTTGTTTCAAAATCATACCATGAAAACAAGCTGGTCGAAATTAGGACACAAAGACACCACCCCGATATTAGCCGTTTACATTCGGAAGAACAGTTGAAACGTGTCCGACATCCACTTGCATGTGAGTACTCAATGGAACCGTTACGAGAACTTGATGACCGACATCAGCCGAACAAACCAATAGCGGCAATTGCCCGACGACATGCCTAGCGCGAGTGCTGAGTTGCCAACTGCACCCCGCCTTGCGGCTATCAGTCGAGGGTTTCCGTGGCAGCCTTTAACACGAGCTCGGAGGCAGCCTTTAACACGAGCTCGGGTTTGGGTCAAATTGACCCCCCAAAGGTTTTTCCAAAGTGGTTTCCTAACGGCGCGGCTCAGCCGCACCAAATTTTGCATAGCTGTAGACAATTGAATAGTGTATCGTTTGGCATATAAAATTTAGATGTACCTTGTAAGGTCGCTGATCTACGACAGGTAAAATTCAGGCCATGGTTTCAGCGAAGGCAATTTCTAGGCAATCCTTCAATCTGATCCAACTACGGAGTGTTAGACGAAGCCATACATCTCTGAAATGCTTTCGTAGGCAATACAACAGTTGAATGAGCAAATTAGACTGGCATGAGGTCAGGTATAAACGTCACACCAAGGTCAAAACCAACCTGTTTTGCTATTCGAGTTCTTGCTGTATGGGATAGTTTCTGGTGTTCATTTCGAGTTTATTGATAGTAGGAACCGCATTATACATCTTCCATGGACTTCTTAAAGGTCAAAATAGGTGATTGACCTGAAATGACCCAGGCCAACATTTTGTTTTAGGAACATACTGCCTAGCGTAATCTTTGTCGCTTAGTCAAATGCAAAACTCAAAGCAATCTTGTATGATTTTGGTCACCTTGACCTTCAAAAGGTCAAACAAGGTCACTGGCTTTGAATGAGGATGTGACCTTTGCTTAGAAACGGTTATCTAGGTTCTGGGGGCACTTTGGAGACCAACCTGGAACTTGACCTTGTTTGACCTTATTTGACCTGAAGGTCAGAACCTAGGAACCTGAAACTTTGACCTAAGTGAGTTCACGTACAGGTCAATACACTCTGTAAATTTGGTGTTTCTAGCTTTCTTAGTTCCCGAGATCTCAGGGGGGTCAATTTGATCCCCTCCCCACCCGAGCGAAGGGTATCCAACCGGCCACCCGGGCGCGTGTTAATAGTCCCGCACATCAACTTGTAGTACTTACTCCCGAGGCTGTACACGTTTAAGAAAGTCCGAAGTCACATAATAGCGGCCTTCTGTCGATTACCGGAACCTAGTTCCGACGACCGACGCCAAACAAACTGATAATGATGCCCAACGTCAACATCTTCCGCTGAGAAGGAGCGAGGAGGCGTATTAGAGCTGGGGTGGAGTTTCCTATTCGGTTGAGGGAAAGGCGGTCACTCAAACTGCATAGCGTTGAGAGAAAAGGGGGTCAAATCCGGGGAGAAGCCTGTTGTTTTGTGTATTTATTTACGAAATAACAGCTCTGTGGTAGAGGCGGATTTGCCACCAGATTACTTCAGCGTCTGGTCTGAAACACGGGCCCATTTCCCAGGCAGACATAAGGTGGGATCCACGATCTACATCGGCCGGGCCCCTGAGTCAATGAGGGCCTCCTGTTTCGGTTTGGGGCTTACAGTGCCTGACAAGGGTCTAGTATTGGCAATGGGCCCAGAATCGGTCAGGAATAGTGTTCGTGGGGCCTCACAAGGGGTTCCCAAATGCCCCTCGACAGCGGCGATAAAATGTCAGATTGGAGGGCACGAAGAGCTGACAGAAAGTCACATTAAGGACCCCAACCCGCAGGGCTGGTCCCCCAAATATCAGTCAGAGGGTCTTCTGCACCGATGTGGAATAGCCTGGGACAGTGTGGACCTCTATATAGGTCAAAGCACAACTCCGAACAATCGCCCCGTATCAGTTGGAACCTTGCGGGCCCATTCCCCAGGCAGGGACGAGGTCGGGACCCGCGATTTGTATTGGTCGGAACCCTTGAAACAATGCGTGCTCCTGTGTCGGTCAGACCTCTGCAGTGCCTAACAGAGGGTTCTGTGTGTCGGCCAGGGTAACACTTGCTGAACAGGGGTAGGCGACGGCACCCCGAATGCTCGAGGGCCTCTTGTGTTGGTTGGTGCCGGCGCGCCCTAAAACGGAAGATCACCACCACCACAGACCCTCTGACAACGAAAGTGGATGTGAGAGATTACGAGACCAAAAGAAAGCATGGAATACCCAGTGACAGTCAGAGGCCCCAGTTCAGAACGGAGAGTTTTTCATCCCATTTCAGCCAGGGGATCGTTTTGCTGAACTGGAGTCTCTGTGGGGGTCACCTGGAGCGGTGAGGCATCTCCGCGCGTTAGTGGCGGGCCCTGCGTCTACCCGGGGCCAAAAACTCGGTCCATGGGGCTCTGATGTCAGGCAGGCGACAGATGTGATGACTGATTCTTCCAAGGGCTTCCGTATTGACCTGACGACCCCGCTCCCGAGTCGTCGGCATGGCGGCTGCTGGGCACCCCGCGCTGTAACGGAGTGAGCCCTTACTTTTACCTCTGGCCGGGAAATATAAAGCACCCCTAGTGTTTTACCGACTAGGCTCTTACTCGGAAAACGTAAGGGTTTCTTTGGTTTTCAATAAAGCGGATCGAGACGAGACTAAAAATGAAAAAGGCCAACACAAATGAGGATGTCCATCCTTATCCGAGTCAACATGTGGAACAAATTACGTTAACAGTTTTTGCCTGCGTGCTCG